AACAACAACAACACCAGCAGCAGCAGCAGCAACGACGACGACAAGACAACAACAACACCAGCAGCAGGAGCAGCGGCAACAACGACGACGACAACAACGACGACGACGACGACCACCACCACCACCACCACCACAACAGCAGCAGCAGCAACAACAACAACAACACCAGCAGCAGCAGCAGCAACGACGACGACAAGACAACAACAACACCAGCAGCAGGAGCAGCGGCAACAACGACGACGACAACAACGACGACGACGACGACCACGAACTCGTCCGAGCGTCCACCGGAGGGCCCAACTCCGAGAGGTCCAAGGACTTCTTCGCCTCGGTTCGACCGGCTCCCCGCGCCAGGTCACTTGGGGCCAACCTGGAGGGAACACGAGCGGCTTTTCCGGGGGAGTGGATGAGGTTTCAACCGAAGATCCCCATTTTTGCGTGTTGTTGGTTGCCTTTGTGTGTGGTGGGGAGGGGGTTGCCGACGTTTCAGACACAATGTACGGCTCCAAAAGAAGGAGAGTCGAAACCGCAGGCATTTCCGGAGGTTCTCCAAATGAGCCAGGGGGAAGAGTGGATGGTCCGGGGCCCCTTTCGGTCATATGGAGGCTGACTGGGTTGCCAGGCCCTGTTTTTCAAAACCGCGGCAGCCTTGTCAGACCTCCTGACCAAAACAAAGTGGTGTTTTGTTGAGGGCGCCCTGAGGGGCTGGCTTCAGGGGGGAACCAAAAAAGAACACCGAACAACATCTTGTTGCTCCAAATCCCCCCCCCCCCCCAATTTTGCCGCACTCCAATTTAAACCTCAAACCTATCTGACTCGCTTCGGCCTCTGGGTACTCCTCCACGAAGCTATTGAGCTGATTCATCAGCTCCAAGTCGCTGTGCAATACCCTCTGCCACCTCCTGATGAGTCATCAAAACCGAAATCGGTACCGAGTTGCTGTGATGGCAGTTTCGGAGAGATTCTCTTGGCACCAAGTGAGTCACAGTCAAAAAAATCATCTAGCCCAGAACCCATTGAAAAGGCGGAGATCCGCACCCATTTGTGGTTGGGATTCTCACTTACTAACCTTCAGCCACCCGAGTTTTGATTCTGGCTCACACTGCTTGGCTTCATAGAGAATGAGCAGGGTGAAAAAAGTCGCCCCCGAAATCTGTGAGACCATGGGCCATTCCATTTCATTTATCACGGGGATTCCCTTGAGATATCACAAACGGCAACCTAAACCCCAATCTTCTTGTAACTACCATGGGAAGCGAATGATTTTGCTACTGAACCATCCCTGTCCTTTGGGGGGAATCCGCTTCATTGCCGAGACCCAAACCTTCGATGAAAGAACACCTGCAGGGGTTGGTGGCTGACTTATTTTTGCCCCTTCCCAGGATTGACGGCGCCCTTAGCGAGGGAAGCCAAAGCCCATCCGCGGCTGGCCAATATGAGACAAACCCAGACGAAGCATCCATGTTTTCCGTGCCAGGTCGGTGTGACCAAAAAGTGCAGCGTTTCCTAGTTTAGCAGGCTCGGGCTGGCCCCTTGTCTAAACATGATTGGTCAAACCAACTCCCTGAGGTTTCTGAACGAGGCAAGTCTGGTTTGAACAAATTCGCCTAAACCTCAAGTAGGGAAACTGTACTCGTCCAAAACCTTTCTACCCTTTCTTTGGGGTGGATTCAAGGGGACAACAAAGGAAAACAACGCTGGGCCATGTTGCAATATTTTGAGACAGCCCAGGCCCCGCCGAATTCGACTCGCAAACGTTGGAATAGAATCCTCGAAGCCCATTTGGCTTCTCAAAAAATGGAACCCTTAAACTAGCACCTTGGTCAACGGAAACAAAGACTAAAACCTGCGTAGCTCCAGCGCTTCATTTTGAACCATACCCATTTTGTCACATGGAGTCAAGTTTCTTTACCCCAAACACGGGGAGCAGCCAAAAAACAGATGAGACACAGCCATGAAACCTGGCAGCAGAACTTACTCAAATGGCCACTAATCGGGAGTTGTGGGCGCTCAAATCTGCGAAGAAAGAAAAATCGGGTTCACTTTGCTGGACTCCATGCAGTTCTTTGACCCCCGCCTCCCAGCTTACCCTCAGACTCAGAAATTCGGGAGCACATCTTCGGCATGGATTCTAGGGGGAAAAACGGGACCGGCCTACCCACCCAAGAAAAATAAACAGCCCCATTTCGCTTTTGGTTTGCCACAACGGAAGAGCCCCCCCAAAACAAAAACAAAGGCCCGCCCGGTTTCGCTTTCTCGGGGTTTACCCCAAAAGGCCAGAAAAATCACCCCACGACCCTCACGACCCGTCGCCTGCTCTGCAGCAACTTGCTGAGGTACTCCACAGCCCGCGCTGACAGGATCTTCTTCCGCCGCCCGCAGCCTCGACTCGGATTTCCACCCAGCTCCGAAAAAAGACGACAAGTTATCCAGGGAATCTCAGGGGGAAAAAAAAAGAAAAAAGAAAAAAATGAAGCGGAACAACGATACTTCCCACCGTCCCCCGCCGGGGCTCGACGGCAAATCGGATTCGGAAGGCTGAAAAGTCATCCCTCCAGGCGGTGTCTGCTGAAGTTGTTCCCCCTACCACTGGCTCGGCTTTGGACGAAGGAACATCGGGGCTCCGGTGCCCGTGCTTCCTGAGAGATCAGGGCCGCTCGTTTGACGCGCGGTCCTGACGGCTTTGGTTGTGCGGGGTCCCTGTCTTCGACCACCATCTTCAGGTATTTGAGGTAACCAGTTGGGGAGTGTTCCCCGTTTTTGTGGGGGGGAGGTGAGGCCCACTGCCCCAGGTGCCTTTCCCAGAAGGGAACTGGTATCCTGTGGTAGTAGAGGTCGTTGTGTTGGTCCCTGGATCTATTCCGGAGAGAATCCAGTATGCCACTGTGGATGATTGGAGGATGGATTGTCCCTGGTGGATTGTCTTGTTTATAATCCTGTAAGCGGCCTGCTAAGGTTCTTTTGCTTCACGCGATCATGAATGATGCAATGTTACACAAAAGGGGCCTTGAGCCAAATGTTGCAGGAGATCAAGTGTTCAGTAAACCAAACACAAAACAGACACAAATTTCTTTTGATCTCCAGCACTAAGTATGAAATACTATTGGCTTCATGGCCTTTGGCCGTAGCCTTGATGTATGCCGTAGCCATGCTGTATGCCGTAGCCATGTGTATTAAAATGCCGGATTCATCCTCTTTTCTGCTCGGATGAAATGTCTTGGCTTTCGAAATGGAAAACACTATGTACTGCTTCTTTTTGAGATACCTAGATGTATCGAAGGGTGATGTGCAACGCTATGTACACGCGGGACGATTGTGAAACTATTGATCTCTCACTCATTGTATAGTCTTGTAGACGGCGAGGATCAATCATCTGAATTGAGTTCGTGGTGCTGAACGTATGAATCTTCATGGTCAGTCGGATTGACGATACCATCGGCGGCTGCTGTCGGATTGACTGCCATAGTCTCCATAATCATTCCAGGTCGAGGTGCTATAGTCCTTCCACTGCTTCTGATATCCCCACTGCTTGTTGTAGTCCTTGTACTCCTGCGGGGTCCAGGCTTGTTTCTTCTTGATGTACTCCTGGTATCTCTCAGAGTTGCGTTGCCTGGTTGCAGATTTGCTGCGGATGTAAACCATGAGGGGACTGTGAGAGTCGGAGTCCTGCGCCATTCATGAACATGTCATTGTTCACGTGCTTAAAGCGCTCTGCGGATGAGACCTGGTAATCGAATATGGCCTTGGTTGGATGGTTCCGCATGAGTTCCAGTTGTTCATCATCCATGCCGTTCATCTCGTCATTCCGGAAAACCTGCTGGATATTCGTTTTGCCCCATCCAAACACGAATGTCGATCATATCCTGATCCAGGTGATGACGGACAATGGATTTTAGGGCGCACGAAGTCTCCATTGCATACTCCATTCTGTCCACGAGTGGCAAATCTTTCGTTTCATTCCACAGTCTCTGATATGCTCTCATGAGGATGTTCACGAGACCGTTGGCCGGATTGAAGACGTGTTGGAGTTTGCTGTAGGTGTTCGCTGATTTGTTGGCGTCTCCGGTGATCGCATCGCATCGCTACAAAGTCACGAGCGGCATGATTTCATTCTGAAGATCTTCCCTTGCTGCTCCATGGCTAACTGAAGGATGGATGTGGAAAACTCCAATGGTAGCGAATGGGAGATCTGCCCTCGTTATGTGGCGGTCGTCATACTCGTGGAGTGACTTGTTGGATGATTTCGGGATCATGCCACGAAACTCATCACTCTGCTCGATATGGAGAACGACGATCTCCTTGTCTCGGCCATGTCCTTGGACAATGGTGCGTGCTGGCAATCTCGGTCCAATGTACTTCTTGGATTCAGTAAACATGGATGGTCCTGTGGTTGCCAAGCAATCCGAGGTCGGAATTTCGTATTCGGGATCAGTGCAACTTCCTTCGGTTCCGAAGAAACATCTGAACATTCCGAATGTGGTTCCCAAATTCTGGCTCTTGGTGGAAATGTGTCTTGCCAGAAGTTCCATTCTTGCAGAAGCCGCCACGGACAAAGCATGCGATCGGTCTGGATGACCATTGCTTGATCAGGATGCCCTTGTACCAGAATCGGATGAACGTCTTGATGAGCTCCCTGGATTTCTCATCATTAGGACTGAAGAATGCGTCTGCTTCATTCAGGCATAAGATGTGTGCACTGTTCTGCATCATCATCTTCACGATCGGTCGATCCTTCATCGGCATGTTGTACACCTCCCTATTGTCCAGCTTTGGATTCCTCGTGAGGTTTCCATGGTTCAGGGTAAGCATGTTGATCGCTATGGATGAGGTGAACTCATGCATCTTGAGATAGTCCACAGGAGGACGGTCGGTCGGTTGCATCAGCGATCCCAGGATATCGGCATAAGCTCGGATGATTTCCCCGTCATCATGTGACCTAAGCTTCTTCAATCCAAGTGGAAGCTTAATCGGATATCCGGATCCTGGTTGAGCTTGCTTGTACTCGTCCATGGTGGGACATTCTCCTCGATGAGGGTTCTTCTTCTCCGAGATTGACATCGGGATCGACATGTGCCAATGAGGCTCTCTCGCACTCTGTCAAGTTGGGATGAGCTCTTCTTGGATCTTTGTTGTACTTGTTCATGAAGCGGGAGAGGTTTGCCTTGGTCTCCGCGAGCTCTTCCTCTGCGTCCGTTTTGTTCAAATCTATTTTGAGATAGATTCCCTTGAGTTCTTGGATGAACTCATCTAGGTTCTCTGAATTGCGATATTCCACGATGACCTTTGGCTTGACGGATCTTTCCCCGGAGGGTTCCATCGTCTCTTCTTCAGCTTCGTCCTGATCGGTGGAATTGGTCTCTGAGAAAGTATCTTTTTCCTTGCTGTGCTTTGTGGAATTCACATAATTTAAGAAGGCATCGGCAAATTCGCGGATCTTGGTGTCGTACATCTCGTAATCTTCATAACTGAGATGCTTCTTCATGATCCACTTGTTGCTCGCCATGAGGCTGCCATCAGGTTCAAATGCTGCAACAATGCTTCTTGCCTCGATGGTTTTGTCTGTCAACGCTGTTCGCTCTTCGGAGAGTTGGATGCCATAGTCTTGGTCCTTGAGGAATGCAAGGATCAACAGTGCATCTCTTCCTGCTGGCACATGGGTCAATGCGGCTTCTGACTCATCGTCGTCAAGGATGACGTCATCGATGCATGCCATGTGGACGTGCATTCTCCCCGAAGGTTTTGACTGGGATTTCCCAGATTTGAGCCCGTGCTCCATGATGCTGAAGAGCTGATTTCCATAGGTTGCATGGAACATGAATGTGATGGGCTTCTTCGCGAACGGCTTGATTTTTCTCTCTTCTTCAATGGATGGTGGTGCCGGCCTTCGCATTCTATGCTTGGGCTGAGCTGTGCTTTCATCTTCATGAGGCGCCTCGGATCTTGACGGATGCGGACTTGGCGGAATGGATTCCGTTGGGAGATCATAGTCCGGTTCGTCGTGTTGAGGCTCTTTCTGCTGCTCAGAGTACAGGGGTCGTCCAAAGGATTGGGTCTCGACTTGTCGTATGTGTCCGCTGTTGCATCTCACATAGAACTCCATCTCTGGATCGACATAGAATTCCTTGCCATCGGGCCCGAGTGCATTTTGTGCGGATCTTGTGGTGAGCTTGTCGATCCATCGATTCCTTGGAACAATTTCTCCCCGTGCCTTGCGCTCATTATATGGCCCGTCCACGGATGGAAATACGAATGCGATTTCGAAACGTGATTCTCCATAGCTCGGGAACATAGCCATCAAGAGAAGTCCTGGCTTATTTCCAATGAAGTTCCTGGCATGTGTGATGCAGGTCAATGCGTCATAGAGCTCGACGGATCCATCAGGACCCATGTCCACTTGTCGTCTGCATTCCTTATGGATTCCATGCCTTGGATCATGTCGAAGACATCCGGAAAATGATCTGCTCATTCTCTCAATTCGCCAGAGGATGAGCTCTGTGATCTGTTTCGCCTTGGATGGATCCATGCGGAAGTATTTGCAAACCTGTTCGACATTCTGGACGGTCTTCTCGAGATCAATGTTGCCGTTGTGGCATACCATCGGGATGATGTCGGTTCCGTAAACTTCGGATTAAGCATTGGTGTAGCAGCAGATGCTGTAGACCTTCTTGATGAAGTCCATGTATGGCTTCTCCGTATGATTTCCCTCACCTTGGAGTGTTGGCTGCCAGTAATCGTTGAATCTGGCCTTCAACCAGAATACATTGACTCCATGTGGTCTCTCATGCTCAGGAACGAAGTGGAAGTCCGGATTGACATCAAGGATGGTTGAGCATTCCTTGTAGTACTCGTACACAAACTTCAGGATTTTTGAGTTTCCGAAAGGTCCTGGGTGTACGGATTCCTTCTGGAGGCTGATGTGTGTATCCGATCCATGTGTTACAAACCACCTATCATTGGATGTGAGAACAGGCCGCATCGCTGCTCGTCTTGGAAGTGCAGGTCGATCACCAGGACGATTGTCGGATTCCGTCTCTTCATCCGGGATGTTCTTTGGTGCTGGCTTGACCTTGGAGACAAGCCTCAACGCTGGTGGCGGTGACTTTGGAACAAGTTTCGGACGCGGCATCGCCTTTAACGTGGGCCTTCCTGCGGGAGGATGCCCTTCTTCATCTGAATCATCGTCGTCGGAATCTGGATCATAATCAACCTGCTCCATGTTGACATTCTCGGGTTGTTGAGAGGCGGATGGATTCTCATCGGCGACTTGCTCCATGGGGCAGTCTGATGTCTCATCTTCCTCATCACGAGCAGGGGATTCCTTCAATGGTGATGCCCGTCTCTTGATCATCGGCTTTGGCACAGGTGCTGCGGCGCTGGATCGTC